TCTCAAGACATAATTGTAAGCTCATATGGGGATATGGCTGAAGGATTGACATGACTTTACATATTGCTATTGCCACATCATCAGTTCCTCACATCATGCCCAAGTTGGCTTTCAAGCTAGAGAAGGCTATTCATGTTGATATCTACTCAATACATGGTCAACTTACAACATGACCTGTCTTCAAGACACCTCAAAGGATGAATCAGCCCATCATCCTACAGCCCTCAAAGACCTGTATCAAAGTTGACTATGTTTGGGACAGGCCAGTAGTTATCAATGTGAAAGCAGACAGCGTAAAAGGCAAACTTGGTCATGATGTCAAAAACTGGTCATGTCATGTCAATGAGCTTGCAAGTATGTCTTGAGATAGGACAGTAGGTATCAATATGAAAGACATAGAATGGCCTTTCCTAATGTGAAAGACAACTTGTGCATGATGTCAAATACTAATGCTGCAGCACTGGCAATATGATGGCAATCCTTCAACCTCATCCCCATAACATAGATAGGGCCAAGGACACCATAAACTACATGTCAACTACAAACTTTTTTAAATGAAAAAGACAAACTCTTCTAATAAAAGCGCAACACTACAAACTTTTGTAGTCTCAAAAAGCGGACACTACAAACTTTTGTAGTCTCAAAAAGCGGACACTACAAATTTTTTTAATGAAAAAGCGCAACACTACAACTTTTGTAGTCTCAAAAAGCGGACACTACAAACTTTTTTAATGAAAAAGCGCACACTACAAACTTTGTAGTCAAGATAACCTTTTGACTCTAACCCTAACTATGTACTCTAAGTCCATGCTTTTGTAGTCTAAGTTCGACTTTTGTAGTCTTTTGTAGTGTATTAGTAAACTTTGTAGTCTAATTTCGACTTTTGTAGTCTTTTATAGTGTATCAGTAAACTGTGTAGTCTAAGTCCGACTTTTTTGTAGTCTATCAGTAAACTTGGTAGTCTATATCTGATTCTTATAGTACAGGATGAACCTTCCTTTTTTGGTCATTTTTCCCACGATACAATAATTGTAGCCCTTTCTTTTAGCTTTCTGAATATACTGAAATCATGTTATTTGGTTTTTTTTTCATAGAGAAAAACACAAAAAAAAAAAAAAAAAAACGCGATGCTTTTGAAATTCCTTTACCTCATATCTCCACAACGGGAGCACTTCAGAACATAATTCAAACAGATTCGGGAAGCTACAGTGTAGGGCTACAACTTTCGTTTTTGACCATTTTGGGTAATTAGTCATGTGACCACCCTCCAGGGAAGCCCATT